AAAAAAACGTTTTTTTACGTTTTGTATGAATACGCCTCTTTAAACGCCTTCTGATTGACGGAGTTTGATTAAAAGGTATAAAATCACTGCCCTGGACATAGCCAGGCCAGTTCAGATGTTGGTGTGTGAACACGCTGAACTCGATGCATCCAATAAACCTGTTTCTCTTCCTTCGTGGTCTCAAGTCCTGATCTTTCGTAAGTAGATTACAAACCTCAATCTGCTGCAACAATGCAGTCCTACAAGTAGAATAAGTTAATTTTGACTACATTTATAACAACTTTGAAAACACATTTATTAGCCCCTCTCCTTTCTGAACTATAGTTTGCAGCATATAAACAAAGAATCGGGAAAATATATATTTATATGTTATGTTGCATAGATCAGAACCAGTGATGGGTTCCAGATCCTGTTCCAAATGGTACAGTTGGAACGGGCCCGGCGTCGTCCACATGGACGTGCATGCGTCTTATTGTTCAGCGACGCCTCTGTGAGCCTCCGCCACGCTCCAGTTGCTCAGCGGAGCATTGCGCAGGCGCTATACGTGCTGTGCATGTGCGCAGAGGCGCCAAAGACTTTAAAGACAGGTAAGGAGCAAGGACAGGTGGGTGGGCCTTCTGGAACACCATACTGGAATGGTACCTGGTGCTCCAGGCAGGCTCCGATATGCCCGTACCGGGGTGTACCGCCTACAACCTACTACTGATCAGAACAGTACCAAAGATAGCTGACCACACAAATTGCTTTGCTCATGGCTGTTGCTCAAGCAAATAAGCTCTCAAGCTTATTGGTTTAGCAAACAACCAGTTTTAAATTGCAGATGAGAGGCAATAGGTTAAGTTACTCTTATTAGCTTTGCCCTGAATTGAATGTAATAAAGACATTCTTTTAGCACCAGAAGGAAAATGTATGCTCCACCACTAAAATGAAAATAGAATAACTGTGCCCAGAAGAAATCCTCTGAATAGTTTCTATCAAATATGTTCAAACTTATTTCATTGATTGTAGATGTTCAGGACTTGGGATTTTTTCCTAGTCAGAGTTTTTTAAATAGTTTTTTCCCCCAAGGAAAATATCTCTAAACCAGGGGTATCAAACTCACATCGTCACAGTGGCATCACATGACGTATCAGGATATTTTCCCCCTTCACTAAACCCGCTGTGGACATGGCTAGCACCTGACACATCTGGCCCATAGGCCAGGAGTTTGAGAGTCCTGCTCTAAACCAAAAAATACAGTTATGTCATAATTATCAAGAGTTTGTTAACTGCAATAGATAATGATTGTTTTAATTAAATTGACCCGGCTGCGGTTGATTGTGTTGTCCAAATTTGAAATAACCATTAATGCATGGTTAAACAGCAATTATTTCTTCATGGTCCTTCAATAGTGTCTCTGTTGTCTTTTTTGAAACTGCACAATTGCCTGCGGGCCTGCATTTTAAAAAGAAAGGCTGGAGAAAAAAATAGATTGAGAACAAGAGCCAAAATGTGAATAGATCCAGTTATGGTTTTTGTCTGCTTTGCACACAAAATTTTTAATATAATTTGCAACCTATGAATGAAATCATTGTACAGGTGATTGGGATATTGATCAAAATGAAGGCAGTGGGCAAGTTATCTAGCACTGATTTGCTTTATCATCTGCACTGTTTTCTTTGGCTGAAAGCTTTAACTGTGATGGATTCTAAATTGTATTTAGGGCCTTTTCTCTATTACGCCTAACCACAGCATAAGCATTAATTTTTCAAAATTATTTATCTTCTAGAAGTCAGCAAAATGTGGCAGTTTTGTGGAAACAATCTGTTTCAACTCAAATATTTAGGAAATGTTGCCATCAAATGAGCCCTAAGGAGATTGTATCAGCATTCATCACATAAACGTGGCCTATCAACATTTTTTTTCTGCCATATTGTCATGAATAGCACTTGTTTTTCCATGTTCCATGCATGAGAAAAATCCTCATTTTGTTTTTCTGAAAATCATAAATGACCCCTGGGTGGCACCAAATCAATACAGAGGAAGTTTACTGTCTGCCCAATGATGCAGTAGTAACAGAAACAGAGGGAACAAAACAACAACAGAACATAGGCACAAAAAGAAAAGAAATAAGCAATCCCTTCTAAGAAAATATGAAGAACCCTGCTGGTTTATAGCCAGTGGCCCATCAAATTCACTTTTCTGCATTGTATTCCACAGTAGGCAATCAGATCCATCAAGATGTTTAAAAATATGAACATGAGCATGATCTCACCTCTTCCATCAATGCATCTTAGCAATGAGCATTGAAGGCATGCCTTCTGTGATTTTAGAGCTAACAAACTACATCAAAATTATTAGCTGTTTAATGTCCATTATTACAGTCCTATTTAAAAAATAATATTGGCTGATGGCTGCCAATCACATCTGATGGCAGCATCAGTGCAAGTTTGCATTGAGTAAAAAGTACACCCTTGAATTGGTCCTTGCCACATTTAGGTTTAATAGAGAAGCCCTTGTTCTAATATTGTGGAATGGAGAAAAATAGCAATAGCAATAGCAGTAGACTTATATACCGCTTCATAGGGCTTTCAGCCCTCTCTAAGTGGTTTACAGAGTCGGCTCTTGTCGCCAACAACAATCTGGGTCCTCATTTTACCCACCTCGGAAGGATGGAAGGCTGAGTCAACCCTGAGCCGGTGAGATTTGAACCGCTGAACTGCTGATCTAGCAGTCAGCTGAAGTAGCCTGCAGTGCTGCATTTAACCACTGCGCCACCTTCTCTCACACATATTTTTCCTTTCATATATGAGTTTATGTACATACCACTCTTTCCACTGACTGCCTTTGCTTAAAGTTAAAAAGAACCAGACATTGTTGTTGAGTATATCAATGTGGTATAGTAGCTACAGTGTTTAACTAGTTTTGAAAGTGAATAGTAATTCATAGGGCCAATCACTTTCTCTCAAACCAATAATCCTATCTTGTGGGATTATTAAACATCTTAAATTGAAGATGGGAGTATTCTATGTTGAGGTCTTGGAAGAAAAGGCCAGTATATAAATCAAATAACATCTTGTTAGGTAAGTGTTTTAGCTCCAAGTTGTTTGTGCAATATAAAACAACACACAAGTATTTACAGAAATATTTCTTGCCTTTTCAAGGGCAGGAAATTATAGGAGTATATTGGCCTCTTTTTACACATATAACATTTTCTGTTCTCTGACGTGACAGATATTTAAAGGGTTTTTTGCACTGATCTATTGAGCACCTATATAAGATCAAATTCTTCCTCTTTTTGTGATTAAACTATAAATTGTGTGGCATAAATGTTCACTTAACAGTTTATAGATGCAGTATTAAACTAAAAGTGCTAATATGCAAACACAATCAATTATTTAAATATTTTCAATCAAAAAACTATAGCTTTAGAAAAAGTATCAAAAATTTCACAACTACTTACTTAATTCATGGATTTCTCTTAACTTAATGGTCATAGATATAAAGAAAACTCTGCAACATTATGTGTACATCAATAGGCAGTTGACTATACATGTATTTCCATAAAAAGGTATTTAGAGCAGTGTTTCTCAACCTCAGCCATTTTAAGATGTGTGGACTTCAATTCCTAGAATTCTGGAAGTTGGTCCACCCATCCCTATGTTGCTGTGGTTGAGAAACACATTTTTATAATGTTAATATTATAAAAGAGAGAATTCTGATACCTGGAGAAATTACTGTTCGAAAAAAACTTCAGTCCCTGCCCATCAGGACACAGTGTTAAATCTCATTCTGTTAACTCCAACCAAAGGAAAATTGGCTCATTCCACTGCCTCTTGTGACTTTCCTGTTTCTGATGGTCATCAGAAGAATTGCTATTTAAATTTAGTATCTAGTGCTTA